TGTGTGTGTGTGTGTGTGTGTGTGTGTGTGTGTGTGTGTGTGTGTGTATGATGTGTGAGAGAATATTCATTTTGAAGAATTCACGTTTTGGTTTCGAATAAAAAATTAGAAATCCATTAGGTTTCGCAAGAAAAATATATGAGAAAATATTATATATCATCTGTATAAACAGAAAAATGTTGTAAATTCTATTTAAAATATAGACTAGGATAAATTAATGTTTTACTACGGCTTATAAGAATATTTTGAAATAACAATAATTTTGTTTATACAAGTATTATATAAATAATAATATGTGTGGAGATGTGAAGGACATGTGTGGAGATCCGAAGGCCCTATAGAACTGGCCACGGACTGGAAGCCGGACACAAGAAGGCCGAGAGGACGACCCAGACAGCGGTGGAAAGTCAGGATTGCAGGAGATCCATCGAGATTGGGAGTGGGCGACGAAAAAGAACTAGCTCAAGATAGAGATAGATGGAGGCAAGTGGTTGTTGCGGCAATGGACCTAAAGGACCCGTAAAAACTAAAGAAAGAAAGAAAGAAAGAAAGAATATTAATATGTATAAAAGTTCAAATTTTTTCCAAATTAAAATATAAAATAAATTTTATAGATGATTTAACATGTTTGAAATACTTTTAATTAAATTATAGGAATATTAATTATATTTTGTAAACTCTTAATTTAATCGAAGTGTATAAAAATAATTTAAAAAAAGTATAATACTATATACGTGTAGAATGTGAAAGTATACCTTATAAAAATTGAACGTGTCATGTTTATAACTAATACATTTCTTGTTTTATTAAACACAATAAATTATCGTATTTTAAAACGATTTTGATTTAATAGTCTTTTTTTTCCTTTCAAATGTCGATAATGGGTATTATCAAAATAATAATAACCAACTACAAATAATAATACCACTTCTTCGAAATTAAAACCGCTAACTGTAGGATATATCCTTTGGACCATTTTCACCACACTAAATCTTACAATATGAATATTTTTTTTCCCATGTTTAAGTAAAAACATAGTTTCAGGGATTCATATTATGTTTTATAAAATAACTAATAATATTCGTAACTGGATTTAATAACGTATCTGATAATTTACCGAATAAAATAACCGGAGTGACCAAATATTTTCCGCTTCAATAATCGTATACAAATATAATCAAATACGTCATCGTATTTTTATGTTCCAGTGAAAGAAATGCCAAAACTAGTAAAACTCGCTCCCCATAGATCGGTGGATGGATCATCGTTGCAACAAGAAACGAAAAAACGCAAAAGACCAATCGGAAAGAGTCATGCGTTGATTACTAGTAAACCATTGACAATCGGTAAGCAAGCATATATTTATATATTATATTAGTAAACCATGTTTATATACCGGTAAGCTTGTATGAATTAGAAATATTTTATTAAATCTTGTCAATTATTACGAAACGCGATATCCATAATGTTTTGATGACATCTATTGTTTAAAAAAAAAACTTATCTTTACTCGCTATTTCATTACATGTTTATCGTTATAAAAAATGTTTGTATAGCTTTTTTTGTTTAAAGAATAATACTTTTTTGTTGGAGTACTATCATTAAATAGAACGGCCAGAGCTTTATGATTTTATTTTTATTTATACTGAAGATCCGTAGGCTGAAAAAATACCTTTACACTATAAACGTATTCTTTCTTTTCGTCTCGTTTTTTGTAATGTTAATTATGTAAATATAGTCACTTTGGTTTTTATGATTTCGTGATTAGAGTATTATAACGTCATCTGAGACGTATATATCTGCCATGCTTATTATAATGCAATCGCTCTCGCCGAGAGATGACATTTCCGGACAACACCGTGTACATATAGAATAATCGACAGCATTGCAATGAAATTTAACATTATTATTTATATTATATACACTTCCATTGTTTACAAATGTGTTACATATGAAATTTTGTGATAATTATAACAATATAAAACGATGAAATAATTCACTGTTTTGTTGTTGTTTAAAAATATAAATTTATTGCAGTATAACATTTTTAACTTATAGATATTATATAAGTATTGAGAATATTATTATTCTTGTCAGCTTATGACAATCCTACATTTTCGTTTAAATATATAATCACATTATTTATATGTATAAAATAATTATAAATAATACAAATAAAATACAGATTTTACGAAAGCGGATTATGTTTAAATTGATTTGGCACACCGACACTTTTTAAAAAATACAATAACCATCAGCCAATGCTATTAAAATTCAATAAAACGTAATAGTGTATAATGTTTATAGTTCATGGCATATACTTAAATACTTTTTATGTTATACTGTTTATTATTTGAAACATCCTGTATTGTTTTATAAATAAGTATAAATTTATATTTTCCTAGAAATTAATTTTTAAATTTCCATTGTTCAAAGAAAATTATATTTTTACGTTAATAATTTATAAAATTAGTACTTATTGGATTGAGTTGAAATTTTTATATATATTTTATTTTGTTGAATTGCAATATTTACTAGTAAAAAAAAAAAAAAAACCATTATTTGATACAAACAATTTGTCTTGTTTAGAAATTATATAATAAAAATATTCTCACATAACTGATATCATGTAATTTTATGAAAATTAAAAATTAAAACACAAATTACTAATTTGTTGTATTTTAAAAAAGGTTTACTATAATTATTGTAAGCTGTTTTTATTTTTATCTGCATAATTCGTAATAAATTAACGGTAGTGTTTATTCAAAGTAAACTGTATTAGGTATATTGCGAAAATAATTACGGTTAGGTTATGATGGATTTCGATTTTGTTTTTAATTCCATAAATTTAACCACGGAAGTTCCTAGCACAATGAATACCGGATGGATTTAGTTCCTGATAGTTCATTAGCTCTATCCATTGAAAAATAATACGTAAATAATGTTTTTACATTCTAACAATTGCTGTTTTCTGCATGATGAATAACAATTATTTTACCATATTATCGGAGTTTTTTTTTTTTAATTAATAAATTTTGTTTTTCTATTCATAGTGGCTCCAACTCCAATAATAACTACCAGAAATGAAGACTCTGGTGGTGCTGCAAAGTATACGTTTACGTCACAGAACAATCCGGGATTAGTGTTGAAGAAAAAAGACTCCACTGTTCAATGTAGTCAAACTACTGCCACCAAAAGTAGACTGTTAAATTATTCTTAAATGAATCATATATCCAAACATCATTTTATGAATACCATTAAATTTAGCCGGCGTTAGTGGAAATATACCTGTGGGTATTGCTGTGGCCAGACAGAGGTACACTCAAAGTACATCTAGTACAGAGATTCAAAGGCAACGAGAAACCACTACAACAACGGTGTCGATGCCCGAGATCATTCATCAGACACCGATGCAGACAATGAGTAAGTTATATACATTTGATATAATTATTAAAATGTTAACGCAAATTAATTCAGTTTTTCCATTAGTGTTGTCCTATAACGATTGTTCCATGACGACTGGGTCAACGGCCGGTATAAATCGATGGCCAGCTTCTGGAGGCTGTAACATTCCCCAAAACACTATTGGAAGTCAGTGGAGTTTTCAAAACACCACGCTAAGAGGTAGATAATCGTAGATATTGAGTATTGTATCTTACGTAATTTTTCTTGCACTCAATAAATATCTCGCTCTCTTCTTTTTCTGTTAAGTTTAAGTTATTTCATTTGTATCGAATTGCTTTCAAGTATACGCCAATAGATCAACTAAAGTGTCCTATAGTAACTATTTTGTTGTTGTAAAGCTCCTGCTTTGGAACAACAGCCCATGCAGCAGCAACCGGTCGGGTATCAACTGGTCCAAGATCAATCTGGTCAATTTTTTTTATTGCCTCAAAATTCTATTACTGGTTTGTACAGTTGAATTATTACTAACGTAAATAAACAATGAATAATTAATTACTGAATGTATTTTACTGTTGAGCAGGTTTAATGACTATGCCTTTTGATTATTGTAAGTCAGATACACAAAACCATCAATCCAATCAAGGTTACACTCTCATTCAACAACCACCTCAACAAATGGCGACTATTTCACCTATCATAAATCACCATCCACAGTATACTTCTATTGCTAGTTCAGGTTATTATTATTATTGTTGTTGTTGAAATTGATTTTTCTTATTTTTATTTAATCTGTTAATTTTGCTTATGTTCAGGTTCATACTTGATTCAGCAAGTAAATTCTTCTAATCCACCAGCTCTCATAAATACTCACCATCAACTAACCGACTCTACTACACATCAACAGCCCTTATTACAGTTGGCATCACCTGAAAATCAAATGATTATTTTTAATCAACAACAGTCTGCTATTGTAGCTCAGCCATTGATCAGCCATCTGCAACCTTCACATCCGGGACTTACTATAGCAACTCAAATGCAATCAGGTTGTCAGAATCATATCAATGATAATATACAAACAGTCTCTGAGTCTGTGACTGTCCAAACAAAACTGGTACAACAGTCTATTACTGAAAAGAGTACAATTTCAAGTCACACAGAAGAAAATGTATCAATTTCATTAGATTATTGTAATACTACAGTAAGTAAACCTGAAAAAGATTTAAAACCAGATTATTGTGCTCCAGAGCCGGCTTTAGAAACTGAAGCAATTGTATCCCATGATGCAAGTAATCAAACGGACTTACAAACTGAAGATGAAACATATCACTCAATGACTGAAGAGAACAAAGAAACCGATTTTACTGAGAGTGTACAAGACTGTATGGCCGATGGCCAACCTTCGACTGATGGAGCCACGCAATCTGTGGTATTATCAATAGCTGAAAACTCAGCTACACCAGACATTACTGGGCTGGAGCTTTTGTTAAATAGTATTGAACAATTTGAAAAACGTAACTCAAGTAGACAACAGGACAACAGTTATCAGGATATTGTTATGCATAAGGAAGAGTCTATAAATACACATATGGTGGATACTAATGCAAACACAATTGAGGAGTCTGAAGAAAAAGGTGTGAATAAGATTGATTTGCTTTTGTTGGCTGAACAGTTTTTGGAAACTGAAAAATCCAGTGAAAATTCTGAATTAAGCAATGTCGACAATAGTTTTTCAAACAATCATAATCCATCAGGTATGTTTTGTATGCTGGTTGGGTATGAGTTGTATCTTTTTTGTTTTTTACCAACTTAGTTCTATGATGATATTAAAAACAGCTTTGGCATTATATGTGTGACTTAATATAAATTTTCCTTGATGGCCACTCTTGATATAAAATCTGTATAATAATCATATCAACACTATAGTATTCACATTATACATTTTTAATATTTAACATTTAAAATTAAATATTTATATTTATATTTTTTTTTTTAAAAATAACTATTATATTAGATACTTATTTTACTATTAACATATAAACATATATATTATATAAACATAATATTATAATTTATAATCAAGGATATTTTGAAGAAAAAAATATGTATATGACATTGTGTATTATGTTGGTGTATATTGTTTATGATAGTTTATTTTCATAAATATTTCTGTTACCCATATCGTTAAAGGATGAATAACATCTAGAACAATAATAAGTATAGGTAATTTTTTTCTGTGGGTAACCATTTTTTATAGATGTGATAAAATTTGTAAATCGTTATTTTGATTTAATAACTGTAAATATATTGTATTGAATTATTTTATAATTTATCTAATTTAAATGTATATATTTTAATTTATATTAGAAGAACTTCAAAATCATCAGTTTCCTCCAAGTACTAAACCACTAGAAGTAACAAACACTAATGATGTCGCTAGAAAAGTATACACCAAGAAAAAATTGTTGTTAACCAAGAATGAAAATAACATTTTGACAAAAGAAAAATTACAAATTTACTCGAAATTGGACAAAACTCAACAATTAACTGATTATTCTGATGGTAAAGTACTGAAGCGAAAAATCTCTGACTCAAGTTCATCATCATCTGGTCAAGTAAAACGTGGACCTGGTCGACCAAAAAAAGTTTTGAAAGTTGTTGATAGCGATAATATTAATAGTAATAACTGGCATGGCATTAAAGAAAAGCGAATGAAGTTGGAATGTAGCACTATAATGAAGCATAAAACTTCGAATTCCTCATCTTCGGATCTTTCGCCTCCTGTGTTGGAACCATGGAGTCCTTTTTCACCTAGAAAAGTTTCTACACATACTCCACCAACCTTATCGCCTGTATCATCAATGACTAAATTGTCAGAAGTACAAAAATCATCTGATGATGAAAAGTTGCCTGAAAAGAAGATAGCAAAAAAACGCTCCACTACATCATCAACTATTGTATGAAATTTATATATTTATTTATTTTTGTGAACTTATATTAATAATTTTATTGTTTTTTAGACTAGCGATGATGAATTTAGATCACCATTGAAAAAACGTAAAGTTGGACGTCCTAGGAAGCAATTAAACCTGTTTGATGAAAACAAAAAGAAAAATTTTCCTCAAAATCATAAAAAGGAAAAACAAGCTCCTTCGTCTTCAGGCTTTATTAGTAGTGTAGGAGCGATTAAAGTCAACAAAATAGAAACGTCTTCCAGTGGCCAGTACAAAATTAAACCTAAGTTAAAAGCTGAAGTTAAAGTAAGTTATGAATTAAGATATTCCTTTTAATCAGAATAGAAATATGTCTGGACTATGACTATACTAAATAAGTGGTTGATATTAATAGCATTAAACTAGAAAAGTATTTATAGTTATATTTATACATATTAGTATGGGAATTATATATATTGCAAATTTATTATGTTTAATTGTTATTATTAATTAATTTAATTGTCTGGTGTATTTTTAGATGAAACACTGGGATGTAGAAGATGAAGATGATGAGATTAGAGACGAAGATGATATATTAGCTTCACCAAAATATGTGTGCAAAAAACGTCAAATTGCTGATGCACTACATAGAATGGTAAATAGGGAATAATTTAATTGTAATTATATATTTCACTGAGTGATATTACCGAATTGGTGCTAATTTTGTTTTTAAATTTTTATCGAATAAATATATAAATATATGTGTAGTAATTAATATTTTAATTGGTTTATTAATTAATTTTTATTATACTTACTTTTTTTAATCAATGAGTTATTGTGAACATGATTGGACTTTTACCATACACTTTACAAATATAACAAGTATTCTAGTGCATTTAAGAATCAATGTTGTTTGTTGTGTTTTGTTATATTTCATGTAACTTTTGGTAATTTATCCATTAGTAAATTATTAAAAAAATTTCCAAATTAAATAGTATACTAGTGAAAAGCTAGTATCGGTAAAAAAATGAAAAGTGTAGTCTATGACCCAATATATTTCTACATCCAAGCTAGATAATATATAAATATATAGAAATTAAATAAATATAAACAACATTTTTCGATAATAAATAACTAAGTTTAGTTTGTTTTCAATTTTTAACACAGATTTCTGATTTTATCTTATATTGTTATTTATTCTGAATTTGGCATTTAAATAGTCAGAATTTGTTGACTGTAGAGAAATAAGTTTATGAACTTTAGATATTAAAATCATCATAAAATTATGTAAGTATAATTTTTGCAGGGACTTACATTGATAAGGCCATAACAGAAAGATCACATATGAATTTTAAGTGGTTTTAATTAATAAAAAAAACTTTAATAGACTGTAGGCGTACGAGTAATGGTTCATAGTTGTGTTTTTTAACTGTGAAAAATTAGTTAAATGTTACTATCAAATCACAATTAAATTTTTTCAACAAGTCATATAATTAATTATTATTGTGTGATAATTGCAATAATTAGTTTTACTATTGTCAGACACTGCACCAATGAAGTAAATTGAGAGTTAGTGTTTAGAGTGCATTTTGTACCATTAATGACATAATTATTTTCATTTGATTGACATTATGAGTTGTGTGAAATTGAATAAAGTGATTTTTATAATTTTATCATATCAAAAATTAACAAATCTATTTAAAATCTTATTGTACAAAACAATAAAAAAAAACTTTACGAAGTATAACAAAGATGATGCTCATGTTGCTGGTTTCAAGTTGTTTAATATTATTGCGATCATTTTGATAAAATTAAAAATGTTGGTGATCAAGTGATGATAATTTTTTATTTAGTACTATAGTATATTAATGTAAAATAAAAATTTAAAAAATTATTTAATTTCGTTTGCAAATACTTGGTTATTTAACTGTCGGTAAACCAATAATATGTAGTAAATTGACCAGATTATACGGTAAAAAAAACCTATTAATAAATTTTAAAAAATACAAAATTAAAAATTAAAGAAGTCAAAAATAAAATTGTTAATTTAGCTGAATTAAAAGATATTAAAAATTTACGAGGAATATTGTTGCTGAAGAACTCAAACCACCCTTTTTTTCTGTAAGAAAAATGAACTGTATTTGTATCATAATATGTTGGTTAATGTGCTATGTTTTTATTTAGATTATGTATAAGCATTTGTAAAACTGTAGTTGCCTAGAAAGTGGAAATGTTTCAAAATGAGTTTGAAAAAAAAAATAAAAGTAATTGTAAATAAAAAAATAAAAATAAAAAAGTTATTTACTTCAGTTTGGTATTATTGGAATCTAAAAATACTAATTCAATGCCCATGCGTGGATTGAATTTATATTTAATATTTATTGTTTTTGAATTTCTGAATTCTATCTATAACAATTTTCAGAATGTTATTGAATATTTTGTTTTTAGATTCTAAATGAAGCAAAAAATGTTTTAATTTGATCATGGTATGTTTTTGAAATGAAACTTAATTATTTTAACTTGTCATAAATCTACATTAAGAGTCTTGTTTAGTATCTCATAACATTAAAAATTTGGAATATATCTTATTTCAATTTTTTTAATAGTTTTTCTGATATGAAAGAAATATTGAGAAATTCTTTGATATGAATGCTAAATTTTGTCCAGCTAAAATGTACAACTATTGACAATATAAATTATTCAATTTGTTATTAAACATTAACTTCTATATAATTTAATATATTCATTAAAATAAATAAACATCGAATCCTTAGTATGAACTATTTACTGTTTTTTGCTTAAACATTTTCAGATTAAATCCTAATGATACCTATATGTTAAGACTACATTTGACATTTTAGTTATTATTTTTATAAGATACATTTAATACATATAAGACTTAACACTGACCTTGTCTCAAAGTGGTTGTTTTTTTAATACTATGATTTATCATTGTTTTCAAATGTGTGTACTAATAATATAACTGAAACAATAAAGAAATAAACACTTGAACTTTATGTCTTACTGGCTTCTTCAAATATAAATTACATTTAGTAATAATTATTTGATACTTGTACAATTTACTGTAATTATCTATTTTTTTTTTTTTTACTTTTAAACGTGCATTAGATTAAACCATATTTTTACTATTATAGAGTTATATAGATCAAAATATGCTGTTTATATGATCACATTTATTTTTATTTCCAACTTTTTGGTATAATTACCTTTAATGAATGATTAGTTAATACATTTCCAATGTCGATTACACTAGTGATGTGTATTTATTTTTCGTTTTCCACTATTTCGTACTTTAACGAAGTACAATTTGAGGTAATAATCAATAATAACATATTTTTAAACATTCATCTGATATAACTGCTTTTTAAAATATTTTTTTTAAAAACAATCGAATAGTCTTTAATGATATAATACCTATATATATATTTTTTTTGTTGTAGTCTTCTTTTTCTGACAACAAGCCTGCGGTGATTCCTAAGAAGAGGAAGTTTTCAAATGTTTCATTAGACAGTGTAGACAGCTTATTAGATGACGAAGTATTATTTACCCGGAGAGACAAGTTTCCAGTTAGGTTACTTCCAATGAATAGAAGTCAAACTTCGGAGTCCGAAATCTCTCTGGAACAAACTACTGAAGGTTAGTGTTTGATACATCGAGATTAAGTTTGAACAGCGATGTTTTTGTTTGATTTTTTTTCTATCGAATTTAAATACATGTTATGTTTATTATGATTGTTTCAGAACGGGATAGTAGTTCTACTACGGTCGAACTCGTTGAACAACAGTGCACACCCGTCAGCCCGAGTCGACCTAGCGTAGAATTAATAACTACCTGCGATGTGAGTTTTCTCATCATTACCGTTCTATGTGCTTATTCTAGTAGTATTGTTGACCATTCTGTGTTATTGTAGAACGATCACGAAAGAAAAAGACTGAAGAAAAAACGCAAACATAGAAAACACAAGCACGGTCACGACGAGCTGAGAACCAAACATAAACATAAGCATCATAAGAAACATCACAAAAAGCACAAGAAACGTAAAGACTCCGAGCCGGAGCTCTCTGTATCTGAACCACCGACACTGTCTCCTCAAACACCAGCCGAAGAAGTGAGAATTGACGATGACGACGATGACAAATCGAGAGAGGTAATAAACATGAATCGTATAATTCTCGTGTAAATTTTTTGTTTTATTTTTTTTTTTTTTTTTAATTTGAATATTGACGAATAAATTCACGTGTTGCGTATATATTTTTGGATATTATTTTGCGTAGTAAAATTTAGCTTTAGGGGATTGAAAGCCATGCTTTTATTTCTCTTTCTATCACACGAGTAATATAGTGATTTAGACGTTATCTATTTCCAACGCACCCATCGATCTATTAAGGCGACAACAATTTTGAAAACTGATTTGAATTCGTCGTAAAGTCTTCTTTAGATCGAATTTTTTAAATTTTTTAAATTTTGTACTTAACATACCTAAAAATTAATTTTTATGTTTCCAATTTGTTTAATTCTATTTTGTGAAATTTTGGGAGATAAAATCAAAAAAGTGGGAAAGTCGATCTAAAGAAGACTTTATGATGAATTCAATTCAGTTTTAAAAATCCTTATCGCATCAATAAATCAATTGGTACGTTGGAAATAGAAAACGTCTAAATCCCTATATTGCGCGTGTGATAGAAAGAGAAAGAAAATCATGGCTTCCATTAATTTATTTATTTAATCATCCCTTTAATTATTAGTATTAAAAAATTATTTGTCTTGACTGTATATTTTGTTGTTACACAATCGGTACGTATTTTGCACATGTTTATCGTTTGCACGTATAAAGTTGTTGGAATTTTGTAAATAATAATCGGCACTTTATATTATTTAAATGATTTTATTATGTAGTTATAGTTTATAATTATTTTTCGTTTCAAATTTTTAACAATAGAAATAAAAATGAAAATGTAAAAATGCTACATATTCGCATTATTATTTAGAACGATTCTAGCGAAGTAGACAGCAGTGATGTGCCGGCATTTTTGTCCGACCAACAGATATGGAAGTGGTCAGGTGACAGTTATAAGAGACCCGGTCGCGGTGGCAATAAGAAAACTTTTTATAAGTCCATCAGCCGAGGAGACGAGACTATAAGTGTACGTTGTACAATAACTATTTTTGTTCATTCTATACACATGGCGCGTTGCTAATAACATCTCGTGTACCTACCGTTCTTGATTTCAACAGATCGGTGACTGTGCTGTGTTTCTGTCGTCCGGCCGGCCGGATCGTCCGTTCATCGGCAAAGTCGATTGCATGTGGGAAACCAACATGGAAAAGATGCAAGTAAAAGTGTTCTGGTTCTATCATCCCGAAGAGACGGCTAGCGGCTTCACCGGTGATCTACCGTATCCCGTGAGTATACTACAGATACTTGTTTAGTTGTTCCGTTCATATGACTTGGTGGTTACAATACGTATGTATAATCAATAATGTGTCATAGGGCGCTTTGTTCAAATCTCCCCACAATGATATCAACGACGTGCAAAGCATTATGAACGGATGTCAAGTGGTATCTTTCGAAGAGTTCAAAACGGTCGTGGAAAAAGATCCGGAACGGTTAGACGCCATTTACGACAATAACGATTTGTTCTATCTGGCCGGTGACTACGAACCGGTTATGAAAATGATTACATTTTGCGATGGGGTGACGGCAACATCCAGCGACAAAATATAATCTGATCGTTTACGACTATTATTGATTATTATTATTATTTTTATTATAAATACCGTTTATTTATTGTATTACTATTATTATTATTATTATTATTATTTTTCCTTTTTTTTTTGTAGTATAAATTATTATTATTTTTGTTTTAATTTTAAACTTATTTGTTACTTGTTATCTGCGATTTAGGAGTTGACTCCGAAAACTTGTGGTTTTTCCATCTTTTTTTTTTTCGTGTTAGTTTTATCTTTTATTTTTTAACCTGATCTAAAATACAAGCTGTAGACATACTATACACATTAATACGTTGTTTTACATAATCGTGTTGCACATTGATGGTCGCGTTTCCAACGTTCTATTTTGATCTCACGTTTGGTAGCCAACGAGAAATTGTTATTAGGTATTCGGTTCCTAAACGTAATAGTTGTATGTTGCATGCGACTGTTCCAATGTCTTTCGCGTTCGCTTGCCGTCGAATCGTGCATTTCCTTTTGTCGGTCGTTTTCCTCAACGACCGCATAGTAATATATTCGGCAAAATGACCGCGTAATTTCACAATACGGCCATATGGGGGAAAACAATCCACGGAAAATAACTTCTGAAAAGCTGAAAAAGCTGAGATTCGAACATATTGTGTCCTCCATTGAGTGACTGAAAATCGATATCCGTTTTAGAGAGGTTTTGACGTGATTAAAATTACTTTAATATAAAGTCAAAAATAAAGACATTTATCGATTGTTTACCTCGGCTTTTTGTAAACGTACGTGATGATATCTCCTTAATACATATACTTACATACAACCTTTTGACGGTTCAAAACAGTTTTTTTTTTTTTTTTACCTGTTACTTGTACTTATTGAATTGTAAAACATTTTTTATTTAAAATCGAAAAAGTAAAATTTGTATACTTTAAGTTTTCGTTTTGAAATTTACGAATCGTTTGGCTGCAAGTAGTTGATTCCTGCTTGATAACTTTAATTTGTAATAACGGGCGCATACAAAAAAAAATATTTTTTTTTTTGCGGTGGTTAGGTTTTACATTTTCATACTTAAATAACTAACCAATTTTGCTATATAAAAACAAATTTTATAATTTTCCTACATTTTTTTGGGGAGGTGGTTTGAACCGCCTGTATATTAATATATTTATTTACTCTAATGTGTATGATGTATACGATACTACGATAATACTATCTACATAGTATTATAATATTCTTATAAATATGTTGATACATGATTATTTATTTATTCTATTCATTAAAATATACTTGTGTGTGTATGTGTGTTACGAAACACATGAACTAATAACTATATCTAATATACTACAACAATACGTTGTAGGAATTTGAAGCTATTTGATTGTTATCATATTATTTGTAAGAGTTCGCTTATTATAACAATAAAACTGTATATTAGAGCACGTTTTCTTTCGATTTTCTATGCATCTATCTTTTACCACGATTATCAGTATTGTTTATTCATTTATTTGTTTTAAACGGGCCACGTCCACTTACATACATTTCGAATAATAATAACTGTTGTTCGTTAATAATAATTAAACGGAAAAACCAATTTAAAATTAATAATATACTTGTATCTTTTAATTTAAAAGTATGGAGCTACAATACATTTTTTAATTGGTTGAAGTTTGGTGATATGAAATATGTTTAACTAATTTATATTTTTCATAATTTTATTGAGGGTGATGTTACTTAAATAATTAGTTATTTTTGTGATTAGATACAGTGTATTTTTAGACTGGGTGTTAAGAGTTAAGGTGTAGAAAGAAAAACAACATAAGAACTCAGGACCATAAAATTTTCCCGCGAAGAGCTTATAAGAAAAATATGAAGGTCGATCTACTGGCCCAGATTTTAGAAAAATATTATCTTATATTATATTATATATTCTGGGTCGATTCGGAAGGACCATTTCGTGGCACTATGAATCAGGTGCCCGGACCAGTGGGACTCTTAATCACAGATGACATTTTTCGAGTGTTTCGAGGTAAAGAAACGTTAAGTGGAATGTATAAAGAATGTGGCTCTCTGGCTATGGAACATTTGAATAATAGAAACCGTAAGAACTTTTGCAGATTTATTTCAGTTTCAGTATAGATGTGAAGGAAACCATAAAGTTGAGCTATATTCATATATAGAACGTAACGAACAGCAATTTATGGACATTAGAGCTAATGAATGTGATATAAAAATCGGCGCAGATTCAACGAATAAAATCTAAGATATTGTTTGATCTGTTAACATTATTAATATGACAGTAAATTTTGAGTTAATATAAAAAAAAAAATGCTCCACCGTTGAGATTATAAGTAAATATTGAAACCACTCGAGGTCTGGAAAATGTCATTATCTTGAATTTATTAATGTTAAGAGTGAAATCATTATTTATACATAATTCATAGTGAGTGTTACAATAAAGTGTTGACCTAAAGTAAGTTAGTCTCAACTTGATTGCTAACTATACGGAATATTTTTATATTATCAGCAAACATTAATTTAAGGGGGTTGGAAGCGGACCTTTTTTAAGGGGTTGAGTATAGACAATACCTTATACGCGTGATGTAATGTCTTGTGAGTGTGTGCGTTAGTAAACGATTATTAGTGTGTGTGTGACTTCCCCGGAATAATACGCTCCGACCTTATCAGCAAACGGACTGTAATTTGTCATTAGTATGCTTAGGGACTTCTAACATTTGCATACTTTTTTTAATTATTGTTAAATATAGCAGAGTGCGAAATAAATTCGTTTCTCTGTGCCATGATATCAGATCTAAAATTTGAATGAGCATATTTTTGCATATTTGATAGATTTTGCAGGAGAATTCTTATTTTAACATTATTATGTTTATTTTGCATATTTTGACAAATTTCTCAAATTTTATTGTTTAAAATTAAAAACTATAGATACATATAACTATATATACATATTTCAACCGATCGGAAAAAAAATGTACTAAGAGGACTTAATACTTCCAGTAATATGCTATCTGAAAACTACCTCTCATTTCTCGTTATAATTTTTGTGTAAGTAAAAAAATACTATAAACCCGTATCAACCGTATAACCCGCTGGATATTGACCGGATGTCGATAAAGATAATAATAGTAATAAAAATAATGATATTAATAGTCGACTTAGAATAATAGATTATTTGTTTAGCGTTTCAGTTCAGTCGATTATTATTCGTCGTTGTTATTGCGTCTCTCAACCACACAACGTCGAATCATACGTAAAACGTCGTACGCGATAATTTGTCACATCGTGTTATGCCGAAAGTACAACAGTTTACGAGTAGCCGACTACAAAGTTTTGTTTCAGAGTTTAAAAATATATTTAAATCCGATGGACACGTTTTAATTTGTGTACTATCTAGTCATTTTTTTTTTTTTAATGCATAAATGCATATTATAATGCATATTTTAATGATTTTAGAAGCATATTTGCATACATATTTGTGTATTTTTTAGAGCTGTAAGTTCCTAAGCCTAGTCATTACCGTCGTCGTTTATACGCCGCAAGACATGTAATATTATTCAATATTATTGTTATTATTATCATTTATAAATTCATAATAATTAATAAGTATAACGCATTTGCAATTCGAGTGCGAGAATCATCGGTTGCCAAATTTTATAAAAAAAAAGTTGTAGAACGAATATTCATAACATCTAATTATTAATAAATTCAAGATGTATTGGAAATAAAATAAAAAGCTAAAGGTGCTATAGTCATAATAAATAAATTTTATGGTAATTATATATATATATATATATATAATTTATCACAAAAACTATAATAATAATTATCATACTACAACTATTGTAGTATGAAACTTTTTTTTTTGGGAAAATTTTTTTGGTAATCCTCGATCAAACCTAGAATCGATTATTTCTGAAAGTAATGAATCCATATAAAATCGAGTAACAATGCATTGAAACGTCTGAAACTAAACATTAGACGCGGCTCCTACAAGTAATAACTACTAAGTGTCGACTTAATCCATTGGTAACTGCAGCATAATCGTACAGTATGTGTAAAAATTCATTACAGTAAATATACCAAATTATAAATATAGGTAATACAATTTATTTGAATTCACAATAAGACTATATAGGGATCTATATAATATTATCGGTTCGCAGGCGGTTAGCGTTGCGCGCCGACATTTTAACGTTTCGGGAAAACAATGATTCGCACGCGCATGCACAATTCATTGCATTTGATGAAATAAAATATTTTGTTCCGACGAAGAAACTCTGAAAATTAATCAAGCCTGACAAAAAAAACGTCAACTCCAAATGATCGGATTTCAATACTGTTAAAAAATTTGAGTTGATTAACCTTTTTTCTAGGTTATTGTGGAAGTCGATTGTAGAATCACTGTTAAACATTCTTAAAAAAGACACTAAAGTAAATCTAAAAATTAAAAAAAAAATTGAGAAACGCAAATAAGATTTAAAGACAATTTTTAAACAAATATCAAAAATCGATTTCCAAATTAGAAAAAAGGTTGATCTACTCAAATTTTTTTACAGAATTTAATTACGATGATATTAAGTATGCGTAATCTTGTCAGGCTTTTAGGTCTACAACGTGAAATAAATACGTTGCTTCCAACCGCCTTAATGCAATTTTGGAAATGATTATTATTGTCACACCGGTTTTTAAAGTATTAATCGTTCGATAATAATATAATTCCAAATTTGTTATTAAGGTTTAGCTATTGGTAGAATCGTACTCCTATACCAAACGAAATTGGGCCGCCCTAAATCTGGGAATTTTTAAAAGTCTTTTCGTCGACTAAATCCACTGAGGGGGAGGGCAAAGGTGGACTTGTCCCCCCTGGCTTTCCGGTGTCTATTTTACATTTATACATAATATATTACAATTATTAATTTATATTAAATCCATTTTGCTAATCTTATCTCTAGTGGACAAAATTTTACCACGGGAGAACGAATTCTGAGAATCCATCGATTTTAATTATAAACCTTTCTATAACGATGGTGGATAGGCACTGATCACAAGTATCCTCTCCTAGACTTATTTCCCTCTCGGTA